GACACCAGGACCCAGGGTGGCTGGGACACCAGGACCCAGGGTGGCTGGGACACCAGGACCCAGGGTGGCTGGGACACCAGGACCCAGGGTGGCTGGGACACCAGGACCCAGGGTGGCTGGGACACCAGGACCCAGGGTGGGTGGGACACCAGGACCCAGGGTGGCTGGGACAGCAGGACCCAGGGTGGCTGGGACACCAGGACCCAGGGTGGCTGGGACACCAGGACCCAGGGTGGGTGGGACACCAGGACCCAGGGTGGCTGGGACAGCAGGACCCAGGGTGGCTGGGACACCAGGACCCAGGGTGGATGGGACACCAGGACCCAGGGTGGCTGGGACACCAGGACCCAGGGTGGCTGGGACACCAGGACCCAGGGTGGGTGGGACTCATTAACACTGGATGGCGACTCAACGAAGAGAGGGCAAACTCTAAATCAAAACCCGGAGATGGAGTCCCGTATGTCGTATGACTGAATGAAAATTCCGAGAACTCCTGAGCCGAGGAGCGCATAAAATAGCACCGTGAGACACAGTTAATGCCATCTGGTGGCCTCCTGGTCTATGTCGTCTGGAATAAGGCGTGCAATGGAAACAAATAGACAAGGGCGAGAGAGTGAGGCTGATGAATTAAATAAAAAATGGACTGGTCCAGTGCTCCGGAATCAAACAGAAACTCGTTCATCTTCCCCCTAGACTGCGACGAAGCCACGACAGACAGTTCCGGCTGGTAAAAACAAGAAAAAAGTAAAGCAGCTCCTCGTTCCTGCCGAAGACAATAGGGGACTGGAACAAGCTTCCAAAAGCAACAGTTGAGGCGGCTACACTCGACACATTTGTGTCTATTGCCTCCTGTATTCCAACCCCCAGTTCATAACACCACTGATGAGTCGCCCTTGCAACCAGTGAAGCATCCCATTGAACCCCATGCACAGTAACATCGCAAACCCCTCTGAAACATAGGAGCCAGAATGATCAATTCATTGATCGTGGGCTCTCAAAATAAAGAAGAAATAAAGAAGAATTGAGCAACTCTCCCTCACTTTAAACAAAATAGGGCTTAAGTACTTACTACCCAAGCGAACTACATTATTGAAGTATATTATTTATACACGAAGTTGTCTGGAAAGAAAGAGACAGAGGGTCAGAAAGAAGAGGGGGGGGGGAGGTGGAGTCGTATGTGTTTCAATAAAAAAAGTGAGAGAGAGACTATATGGGCGAGAGATTAGCAGATTTAGATAAATAACGAAATACCGCGATAGAGAGAGAGAGAGAGAGAGAGAGAGAGAGAGAGAGAGAAAGTAAAAGATGAGAGAGAGCCAGGCGGAGGGATACGAATGGACTCCTCAATGTCACATCACGTGTCCTAGTTTCTGAATTATGATTATTTTTTATTTTATATTTTTATTTTGTGTTTTTTTTTTGGTTCATTTAATAATTGTAGATGGGTTGATGTTGTTTTCTACTTAACTGGAAAACTCATTCAAAATGGTAGAAGCTCTACTTTAAATTAGCATGAAATCTGAATCACTTTACTTGTGATAGTGGAGAGCTCTAATTTGATACCCAGCTTTGTCTAGTGACGTTTCTCCACCGTTCAACATCCGGTGCCTGGTCTATCTGACCCACCTCGAAGCGTGTAGTGTGTTGCCATGACTTCATCCGGCAAGAATTTATCCTGGAATAACTCTATAGTCTAGTATGTTGCCATGACTGACTTCGGATCGAGCTTGAAATTGTCTCGGAATAACTCTGATTTGACGTTTTCTTAATTCTTTCTGGACTTCTAGAAATGACTACGACATGCTCATATTAGATATGTACTTTAATATCAGCTTCTTATGTCTCCCTAGGTTTGCCTTCATCATCCTGTGTCTGACCCTGGGGGTGCTGTCATCGATCACTGAGTGGGAGGGGGTGCTGATACAGTCGACCATATTCTCGGTGAGTTCCTAGCAGACGCCTTACGGGGCCTGCAGTCAGTAAAACATCATCTTTGAAAGTGCTGATAAATCTGTCATAAAATAGTGGGGGGGGGGGGAAATAATACACCAACCCAGTGGTCAGCAAATCGCGGCTCGCGAGCCGCATGCGGCTCTTTAACGACCTGAGTGCGGCTCGGCCAGTCGGCCACAAATCGGTTTTGACTCCGAAAAACATNGGGGGGGGGGGGGGGGGGAAATAATACACCAACCCAGTGGTCAGCAAATCGCGGCTCGCGAGCCGCATGCGGCTCTTTAACGACCTGAGTGCGGCTCGGCCAGTCGGCCACAAATCGGTTTTGACTCCGAAAAACATGGTTCTTGACAGGTTCTTGAAAAGAAATTTGGCTCTCAGAAAACATATTAATCGCCCTGCTGCTGAATTGTATCTCCGTTTGACCAATGAGTTTGCCGACCACTGGACTAACCTAAGTTTGTCTATTCTTTTTCCCTTTCTTTGTGTGTGAGTATGTGTATGTGTTACAGGTTTGTGCTGTGTATGCTTGTGGGTGTGTGTGTGTGTGTGTCTGTGTGGATATGCGTATGTTTGTGTGTGTGGGTTCGTGTTTCTGTGTGTGAAGAAATAAGTAGTAAAGTTAAAAAGAAATCCAGGTGTTGCATTCGGTGTTGAATTGTGTTGTTGTGCTTCGCAAAGCGACATCTGTACAATTTGAGCCATTGACTCACCCCTGCTATTTAATCATAGTTGTTAATTGAATTCACCGTAGTCATATACTTCTGTTCCTAGCATCCTGTTTTCTCGTGTGTATATTTTTGTGTGCTTCTTTGTACATGTGTGTGTATGTATGTCTACTGGCGCATCAGCTTGTATATGTACGTGTGTGTATGTACGTCTCTGTGTGCGTGTATGTCGAAATTTGACTAGACCGGAGTGATATCACTCAAGTATACAATTGGTAAATAGCTTTAAACGTGTGTGTTTTTGAACATGTTTATGTGTGTGTGGTCTCGGATGGAGAAGACTTGGACATTCTATTTATCTATTGCAGCAGTTCTCAACCTGTGGGTGGCAACCCCCGGGAGGGGGGGGGGGGTCGAACGACCATCGAAAAACACATTTATTTGAAAGGAACAGCGAAAATAATTTAATGGGGGCAGGGGGAGGGAGGTCACCGCCTCATGAGGAACTGCATCGAAGGATCGCGGCGTTAGGGAGGTTGAGAACCACTGATATAGTGCAGACCTGTTTACTCTTACGATTTTGGCGTACAATGTACGATTTTGAGGTGTATACATTATATATGCTGTATGTTTATTTTTACCATAAATATAACGTGTTGAACGATTTTGTGATGATGTTGTACGATTTTAAGAGTTTGAGGGTAAACAGGTCTGATAGTGTCGTAAACAAAGATGATGGAGACAACCAACAACCCCCCCCCCCCCCCAGCCCTTACAACAAGAAAAAAAAATTAAAAAACATTAAACCGCTCAAATAAAAAAAAAAGTTTTCTTTGAGAAAGAAAATAAACAAAGATGAAGGAGACAACCAACAACCCCCCCCCCCCACAGCCCTTACAACAAGAAAAAAACATTTAAAAACATTAAACTGCTGAAATAAAACAAAAAGTTGTCTTTTAGAAAGAAAATAAAAACACCTTGCTGCCTGAAAAGGACACGTGTCTTTTTCTCCTTAACAGTTTTTTTGCTCTTCCAAATTTTTTATATATATATTTTTTATTTTTTTTTTACAATTTTACATTTAAAATTCATTTTCATGATGTTTTTTTTTTTCTTCTTTATGTTCCCTTGTTTCGCGTCATCAAACCCGGCACATTTTGTGTAGCGATGGCTTCACTGGTTCTCACGCTCTCCATCTTGACTGCGTCAAGGAAATGACTCTCGACAGACAAGCCCTCCCCACCATCCCCCCCACCCGAGCATATCCCCCCCACACCCCATTAAAATGACGTTCTTAAATCTGATTTATGTTTCCGTGGAGTTCCATTTAACGTAAAGTGCAGTGACCTGCATACAAAGGTCCTCAAATTTAGCGGTCGAGATCTTACCGGAAAGGCTCTTCAGTATAAAAAAAACAACAAAATCAATAAAACTCAAGCTGTTCTCATAATAAATATGATTGGGTTTAGGATGTTGCGACCTTAGTCCCTTAGTCGCGTAGCTAATGAGGGGCGGGGGATAATGAACCCACATTTGACAGATACGAAAAACGTACAGGGACTCATCGTAATGTAGCTGTGGCTAAAGGGCGGTAAACACACACCCCCACTCCAAAGACAACTCCATTGCCACGTTGATCCTATCAACAGTTAAGCCCCCCTGGCTAAAATCTATTGGCTTACATTAGCTCCTTTTCGGATTTCAGCACAATTTTTTAAGGTTGAAAAAAAAAAAAAAGCTTTCATTGCAATAAAGTAATCAATTATTAAAGTAATTCATAAATCTTGCTGTGTGGTCTCAAAGGAATAAAACTCGAAATAACAGCCATAAAAATAGTTCAATTCAGTTCTAAAGGCATTCTCTGTTTTTGTAAATGACGTCACATGATCTTCCTTGACTATTGTTCAAGTCAATCTTCTAACTGGAAGAATCGGTGGATTTAGTTTCGCTACCTGAATCGACATTTTTTTTTTTTTTTAAATTTCTCCAAACACCTTCGCTTTCTCTCAGACACCAGTCCCTCACCTCCAAAACACCATCTAATTTTTGTTGTTGTTGTTGTTGTTTTAAACACAATAGATTACGCCAAGAACCCTTCTCTTTTTTTTTTTAAATTTCCCCAAACACCTTCCCTTACTCTCAGACACCAGTCCCTCACCTCCAAAACGCCATCTAATTTTGTTGTTGTTGTTGTTGTTTTAAACACAATAGATTACGCCAAGAGCCCTTCTCTTTTGTTTCTTAAAGTGAGATCCATTGTTTCAACAACAAAAAATCGACTGCCATCGATCCCCCCCCCCCCCCCCCAAAAAAAAAAACAAAAGCCATTAGGGGGCCTTACGGTTGCGGAACGAATGAAAGATTTCCATCCCATTGCAGGAAGTGGTCATGGTCCTCTGGATCGCCGTGGAGCTGGCTCTGAGAGTCTGGTCGGCCGGATGCAGGTCACGCTATCAAGGCATGATGGGAAGGCTGCGGTTCCTGCGTCGTCTGCTCTGTATCATTGGTCAGTGACCCGATTAGTGGTGTGTCCATTGTAGTGATTTCGTCATTTTTTTTTTAGCATGTTGAGTTCAATCAGGCACAACAGTTTGCAGTTTTATGCAAAAATATTTCGTATAAATATGTATATTTTTTCATAAATATGTAAATTTTCTTAAAATATGTAATGTTTCTTTAAAATGTGTAAATTTTCTTATAAATATGTAAACTTTCTTATAAATATGTAAATTTTCATACATTATACAGAAAGCAACACAAACACAAAACGATTTTAACAATACTCAGCATTTGTGCGTGAAAAAATACGTTTCCCTTCGTAGAGCATAAAATACCGAAAACAGTTTTCAACGTTTACGTCTCTATCAACACTTTTTTAAACAACGATTTGACTATATTTACGCTCTCTCATTTATTATAATTAAATACAAGATTTAATCATAAGATTTATTTGTTGTATAATTCTGGTCGATCAAGTGTAAAATTGTGTCTTTTTTTTTTTTTGGTCGGTGTGTGAGATTTATAATGTTGGAGGGTTTTTCTAAATTTAATGTACAAGAGGTCGTAATGAAAAATCTGGGACAGTGACAAAATCAATAGTCTTTCAATGACCAGGGTATCACATTTCGTGCTCGGTACGAGTGTTCTTCAGATTATAATTAAATACAAGATTTAATCATAAGATTTATTTGTTGTATAATTCTGGTCGATCAAGTGTAAAATTGTGTCTTTTTTTTTGGTCGGTGTGTGAGATTTATAATGTTGGAGGGTTCTTCTAAATTTAATGTACAAGAGGTCGTAATGAAAAATCTGGGACAGTGACAAAATCAATAGTCTTTCAATGACCAGGTTATCACACTTCGTGCTCGGTACGAGTGTTCTTCAGGTTATCACACTTCGTGCTCGGTACGAGTGTTCGTCAGGTTATCACACCACCTCAAACCGGACTGACCTGTCTGATCTGTTAAAAGGTCAGCGTGACGGGAGAGCAAAATTTGCATGACAGGTGATAGTGAGTTTGACAGGTCATGGAAACAGGTCATGTTATTTTGACTGGGAAACGTCGTAGTGGGTTGGACAGGTCATAGTGAGTTTGACAGGTCATGGACACAGGTCATGTCATTTTGACTGACAAGTCGTAGTGGGTTGGACAGGTTGTAGAGGGTGGGACAGGTGGTAGTGGGTTGGACAGATGGTAGTGGGTTGAACAGGTGGTAGTGGTTTGGACAGGTCGTAGTGGGTTGCACAGGTGGTAGTGGGTTGCACAGGTGGTAGTGGGTTGCACAAGTGGTAGTGGGTTGGACAGATGGTAGTGGGTTGGACAGGTCGTAGTGGGTTGCACAGGTGGTAGTGGGTTGTACAAGTGGTAGTTGCTTGTACAAGTGGTTGTGGGTTGGACAGGGGGTAGTTGGTTTGACAGGTCGTAGTGGGTTGGACAGATGGTAGTGGGTTGAACAGGTGGTAGTGGTTTGGACAGGTCGTAGTGGGTTGCACAGGTGGTAGTGGGTTGTACAAGTGGTAGTGGGTTGGACAGATGTAGTGGGTTGGACAGGTCGTAGTGGGTTGCACAGGTGGTAGTGGGTTGTACAAGTAGTAGTGGCTTGTACAAGTGGTAGTGGGTTGGACAGATGGTAGTGGGTTGAACAGGTGGTAGTGGTTTGGACAGGTCGTAGTGGGTTGTACAGGTGGTAGTGGGTTGCACAGGTGGTAGTGGGTTGGACAGGTTTTTAGTGGGTCGACAGTAAGACTTCTGAGCATGTTTTCTTTCTTTAAGCCTATTTAAAACCAGTTTATGCCAAGAAGGCCGGCAAATGTCACTGTTTCACATAAAACCTTCACTGTCACTGGGTTATTTCACTCGACTCATCTGATTTGTTGACGCTGTCAGTATATATATATATATATATATATATATATATATATATATATATATATATAAATATCACTGTTTCACATAAAACCTTCACTGTCACTGGGTTATTTCTCTCGACTCATCTGATTTGTTGACGCTGTCAGTATATATATATATATATATATATATATATATATATATATACATATATATCTCGTTGGCCGAGTGATCTAAACTGAGTGAATCTTGGTGGTCTGGAGCTCAATTCCAGCCAAAGCCAAAAGCAAAAACATCACCAGCACCCCCGGGTGGATGGAACTCGTTAACCTTGGATGGCAACTCATCCAAGAGAAGGAAACTCTGAATTTTTTCCCGGAGATTGAGACCCGTAGGCGGATGACATTTGTACAATGAAACTTTCCGACAACTCCTGTGACGCCACTGGCAGCCAAGCTGTATCATCCACATGATGTTCCCTTGGGTTATCCAGCGGCGTGGAGAAAGGTGATTTGTTGTTGGGAACCAGCTTATATTCCTAGAAGAATAATCCCAGATCCTTGTCTTCACCATCGTCACATTGTGACGGAAGGATGCCAGCAAAATATATTAGATATAAGTATTGCTATGTATTTTTTTCCAGCAAATTCAGGTCAATAGTTTTACAAACAATCCGTAAATGGACAATTGGCAAACCTGCTACCACCTCTTTTTTAGTAGATTCTTCGAGCTTCGGGATCCCTCCTATTTTATTTCTTTCTTTATTTTTTTTTAATTATTATTATTTAATATACATTTTTTGACGTTTCCCATTAACCTCCTTCCCAAAACGCGTAAACGTCATTGGATGCGTCCTTAGCAACGACTTCCTGTTAGATTCCTACCAAGCTAAATTCTGTTTTATTCTCTGTTGTTGATTTTTTCTGTTTGTTGTAGAAGACTATTTTGTTTCGCCTCTCTTCCATTTTTCCCGTACCACGTGTTTTAAATTTCTTATTAGTATGCACAGAAGCGATGTTTTGCATAAACTACACAGGCACACACACACACACACAGACAAGCATCATCCCATAAGTTCCACGGCTCACCATGACAATGACTTTCTGTTGACCGTGGTCAGATATCTGCCTGGTGGTCGCCAGCTGTGTCATCATGATCATCGGGTCGACACAAGAGTTCCCGCAGACCGTGCTCAGCGCCCTCAGATTCTTCCAAATCGCCCGCATGGTCCGCATGGACCGCAAGGGAGGCACGTGGAAGCTGCTGGGCTCTGTGGTGTGGGCGCATAGACAGGTGAGTGGCCAACGGTTTACCTGTAGCTGAAAGCAGGTGGGTGAGGTCCTTATTTGTTCATGGTTATAGTTGGGTGTCGGCATTAGGCTCATCAGATGATTTAGAGACATGCTATTTCAACGAGAACTTTGAACTTTTATTTATCGTCCATTTGAGTGATTGCAACCTTCCTAATACCGTGAACTTTTAATACAGTTCCTCGTGTTGTGGTGACCCCAATAAATAAAATTATTTTCGTTTCCACCTCATAAGTATATGTTTCCCGATGGTCTTAGTCGACCCCTGTGTAAGGATTCGCGACACACAAGTATAGAAACACTGGTCTATTTTATCTTGCAAGAATATTGTCTTACTCGCGTCACATACATCTCTTCCGTGTTCAGAATATAGAACAGAAATCAATTACTGAATCAAGAACTGAGTGCATAAATCAAGTTCACAGTTAGATCAGAAATCAACGTATGCTTTAGGACAAAAAATCAATTTCTCAAACTCTAAAACGAATTATAATCGCACGTCATTACAATCAAACTGCTGTCAATGTCATAAACTTACCACGTAAGTCAATTTAAACTTTAAAAAAAAAAAAATAATTAAAAAATTTAAGTTTGTATTCCACCCCCAGGAGCTTGTGACCACCCTGTACATTGGTCTGCTCGGTCTCATCTTCTCGTCGTACCTGGTGTACATTGTGGAGAAGGACGAGCCTCGGATCGACGCCGTGGGGCCCAAGCAGCAGTTCAACAACACCGGGTACAAACCCAAGTTCAACAACTTCGCCGATGCCATCTGGTGGGGAGTTGTAAGTAGGTCAATTTGCAGGGGGTGGGGGGTGGTAAATGGGCAAATTCGAAGTTTGGAAATATAAGTAGGTCAGTTTGTAGCAAGAGTTCTAAGTTGTCAATTTATTTTGCAAGTACTTTAATAGGTAGACATAAAAGGGGGGGGGGGGGGTTTCCAGGTTATGTGGAGTAAGTCAGTTTGAAGTGTTGAGTTCAAAGTAGGTTAGTTTGAAGTGTGGAGTTTAAAGTAGGTCAATTTGCAATGAAGATTTTAAGAAGTCATCTGTAAGTTAAGAGTTGTCAATAGGTCAGTTTTAATGGTTCGTTGTACTTATGTCAGCTAAAGTGATGAAGTTAAAATAGTTCATATTTTAATTTGGATCTGAATATTGGTGAAAATTGATGCAGAGAATTAATTACTTCGTCAATATCCAATGCGGAGACAACATGTACGCTTGTGTATATTGGCTAATGTAAGATCGAAATATGTGCGGATTTGTCTCTCTTTGTTTTAACTCTCTGTTTCTCTTTTTGTTAACTCTGTTTCTCTTTTTGTTAACTCTCTGTTTCTCTTTGTTTTAACTCTCTGTTTCTCTTTTTGTTAACTCTGTTTCTCTCTGTTTCTCTTTGTTTTAACTCTCTGTTTCTCATTGTTTTAACTCTCTGTTTCTCATTGTTTTAACTCTCTGTTTCCTTTGTTTTAACTCTCTGTTTCTCTTTGTTTTAACTCTCTGTTTCTCATTGTTTTAACTCTCTGTTTATCTTTGTTTTAACTCTCTGTTTCCTTTGTTTTAACTTTCTGTTTCTCATTGTTCTAACTCTCTGTTTCTCATTGTTTTAACTCTCTGTTTCTCATTGTTTTAACTCTCTGTTTCTCATTGTTTTAACTCTCTGTTTCTCATTGTTTTAACTCTCTGTTTATCTTTGTTTTAACTCTCTGTTTCCTTTGTTTTAACTTTCTGTTTCTCATTGTTCTAACTCTCTGTTTCTCTTTGTTTTAACTCTCTGTTTCTCTTTGTTTTAACTCTCTGTTTCTCATTGTTTTAACTCTCTGTTTCCTTTGTTTTAACTTTCTGTTTCTCATTGTTCTAACTCTCTGTTTCTCATTGTTTTAACTCTCTGTTTCTCATTGTTTTAACTCTCTGTTTCTCATTGTTTTAACTCTCTGTTTCTCTGTAAATGGGGTGTATTCTGGTGCGCACCAAGTTGACGCCAGCTTTACATTTTAAGCACAAGTGGAAAATATAAATAGCATAAGTTAAAGTCTTTTTAGTTAGAGAGTCCATTAGAACTTCAGCCTTTTCTGAGAATTTTATGACCCCGATTCAGTGGCCGTTTTAGACATGTGCTCTTCGCCCGATGCCGTAGACAAGGTAAAATAAGAAGTTTGAATGAGAGCACGTGCAGGAGCCCGTACGTTACCCCCCATAAAGTATATTTTTCTTGCATAATCAAGTTAAATTAGATGTTTTCATTCTAACGACTTTTTCGATGTGATGATTCAACGGTGTTTTAAAAGAAGTATTCAACTTTAGAATGACACGCTTCAGTGGCGATCTTTTGAAGACGTTAACCAGCTTTTAGTTTATTTAATGTAAAATTAATGCATTTAAAAAAAGTGAAAGAAGTAGAAAATATGCTAAATGTAAGATATGCTAAGTGTAAGATAGGCTAAGTGTATGATATGCTAAGTGTAAGATATGCTAAGTTTATGATATGCTAAGTGTATGATATGCTAATTGTATGATATGCTAAGTGTATGATTATGCTAAGTGTGTGATATGCTAAGTGTAGGATATGCTAAGTGTATGATATGCTAAGTGTATTGTTACGCACTGACTTTTATTGGGAGGCAGCTCTCTATAACAGTATGATATGCTAAGTGTATGATATCCTTGTGAATTACATTCAAATCTACTATGGTTCCACAAAATTTATCGTCAATAGCCCGTTTTCCAAAAGAATTATTTTCAGTAAGTACACAACAAAAATTTACACGCACTCATAAAAACCTGCGTTTTAATAAACAAATATTCAGTCTATCTTACCAAAATGTGTACGTGAATTGTACACACATCACGGACGTACACTAAGTTCGAAATAGCCTGATATTTAAGTGTATTTCACTTCATTGAGGTTTTTTGTTAAGTCCTAACAATACTAACCTGGCTTATGTTCAAGTTCTTATCGTAATGTTGGGTCTGTAAATAGGACACGGCTTGACTGAGTTTGAAACGTCTTTCTGACCAGGTGACGCTGTGCACCGTGGGGTACGGCGACGTGGTGCCTGCGTCATGGGGAGGAAAGGTCATCGCCTCGTTCTCGGCCATCCTCGGCATCTCCTTCTTCGCCTTACCTGCGGTAAGATCACTTCAACGTCCATCTGCTAGCTCCAATTGATTTCTCTCGATTATCTGCCTATATAAATATCTGTCCATATAAATACATATATATAAATACAATATATATATATATATATATAATATTAAGCTACTCGTTTCTATGGCAGCATCTATGTATTTTAAAAAATTGCAGTTTTTTATGTTCATTTAGATTTTCCATATAATCTTGAGATAATCTTAAGATAACTTTAGTTTTCCGATACATAGCATTACCCATCACTTCAACTAAACGCCCGGTGAACATGTATTTAGTACTCTAACCAAATTGTCAATCAGATTTAGCCTAGATTTATTGGGTTTAACCAACCAGTCCATCAATCATGTTTAGACTAGCTCTACTAGGTTTAACCAACCAGTCCATCAATCATGTTTAGACTAGCTCTACTGGGTTTAACCAACCAGTCCATCAATCATGTTTAGACTAGCTCTACTTGCTTTAACCAACCAGTCCATCAATCATGTTTAGACTAGCTCTACTGGGTTTAACCAACCAGTCCATCAATCATGTTTAGACTAGCTCTACTGGGTTTAACCAACCAGTCCATCAATCACGTTTAGACTAGCTCTTCTGGGTTTAACCAACCAGTCCATCAATCACGTTTATACTAGCTCTACTTGCTTTAACCAACCAGTCCATCAATCATGTTTGGACTAGCTCTACTTGCTTTAACCAGCCAGTCCATCAATCACGTTTAGACTAGCTCTACTGGGTTTAACCAACCAGTCCATCAATCATGTTTAGACTAGCTCTACTGGGTTTAACCAACCAGTCCATCAATCATGTTTAGACTAGCTCTACCGGGTTTAACCAACCAGTCCATCAATCGTGTTTAGACTAGCTCTACTGGGTTTAACCAACCAGTCCATCAATCACGTTTAGACTAGCTATACCGGGTTTAACCAGCCAGTCCATCAATCATGTTTAGACTAGCTCTACTGGCTTTAACCAACTAGTCCATAAATCATGTTTAGACTAGCTCTACTGGCTTTAACAAACTAGTCCATCAATCACGTTTAGACTAGCTATACTGTGTTTAACCAACCGGTATATCAATCACGCTCAGACTATCTATACTAGATTTAATCAGCCAGTCCATCAATCACGTTTAGACTAGCTCTACCGGGTTTAACCAGCCAGTCCATCAATCACGTTTAGACTAGCTCTACCGGGTTTAACCAGCCAGTCCATCAATCACGTTTAGACTAGCTATACCGGGTTTAACCAGCCAGTCCATCAATCACGTTTAGACTAGCTATACCGGATTTAACCAGCCAGTCCATCAATCACGTTTAGACTAGTTATACCGGATTTAACCAGCCAGTCCATCAATCACGTTTAGACTGGCTATACCGGGTTTAACCAGCCGGTCCATCAATCACGTTTAGACTGGCTATACCGGGTTTAACCAGCCAGTCCATCAATCACGTTTAGACTAGCTATACCGGGTTTAACCAGCCAGTCCATCAATCACGTTTATACTAGCTATACCGGGTTTAACCAGCCGGTCCATCAATCACGTTTAGACTAGCTATACCGGGATTAACCAGCCAGTCCATCAATCACATTTAGACTAGCTATACCGGGTTTAACCAGCCAGTCCATCAATCACGTTTAGACTAGCTCTTCTGGGTTTAACCAACCAGTCCATCAATCACGTTTATACTAGCTCTACTTGCTTTAACCAACCAGTCCATCAATCATGTTTGGACTAGCTCTACTTGCTTTAACCAGCCAGTCCATCAATCACGTTTAGACTAGCTCTACTGGGTTTAACCAGCCAGTCCATCAATCATGTTTAGACTAGCTATACCGGGTTTAACCAGCCAGTCCATCAATCACGTTTAGACTAGCTATACCGGGTTTAACCAGCCAGTCCATCAATCACGTTTAGACTAGCTATACCGGGTTTAACCAGCCGGTCCATCAATCACGTTTAGACTAGCTATACCGTGTTTAACCAGCCCGTCCATCAATCACGTTTAGACTAGCTATACCGGGTTTAACCAGCCGGTCCATCAATCACGTTTAGACTAGCTATACCGGGTTTAACCAGCCAGTCCATCAATCACGTTTAGACTATCTATACCGGGTTTAACCAGCCAGTCCATCAATCACGTTTAGACTAGCTATACTGGGTTTAACCAGCCAGTCCATAAATCACGTTTAGACTAGCTATACCGGGTTTAACCAGCCAGTCCATCAATCATGTTTAGACTAGCTATACCGGGTTTAACCAGCCGGTCCATCAATCACGTTTAGACTAGCTATACCGGGTTTAACCAGCCAGTCCATCAATCACGTTTAGACTAGCTCTACCGGGTTTAACCAGCCAGTCCATCAATCACGTTTAGACTAGCTATACCGGGTTTAACCAGCCAGTCCATCAATCACGTTTAGACTAGCTATACCGGATTTAACCAGCCAGTCCATCAATCACGTTTAGACTAGCTATACCGGGTTTAACCAGCCAGTCCATCAATCACGTTTAGACTAGCTATACCGGGTTTAACCAGCCAGTCCATCAATCACGTTTAGACTGGCTATACCGGGTTTAACCAGCCAGTCCATCAATCATCCCCAGGGCATCCTCGGCTCGGGGTTCGCCCTCAAAGTCCAGCAGCAGCAGCGTCAGAAACACCTGAATCGCCGCCGCGTGCCGGCCGCCAACCTGATCCAGTGCCTGTGGCGGTGCTACGCGGCTGACGAGCACAGCATCTCGACAGCCACCTGGAAGCCCCACATGATCCCCTGCCCCAGCCCGACCTCGTGAGTTCATCGCGCGCTGCTCATTTACATATTATAGCTCATTTACGTAGTATAGCTCATTTACATATTATAGCTCATTTACATAGTATAGCTCATTTAAATAGTATAGCTCATTTACATAGTATAGCTCATTTACATATTATAGCTCATTTACATAGTATAGCTCATTTACATGTTATAGCTTATTTACATGTTGTAGCTCAATTACATATTAAAGCTCATTTGCATATTATAGCTGGTCGACGAGCCGAGTCTACATTTTTCGTAACTGTCAAAATGCGTGTCACACAATAACCCTCTAAAGATAATGGTTGAGTCAGGCTTGCGTCTTTGTTTGTTTGACTCTAACTCAGACCTTGTTAGAGCTCATTTTGTAAACAGAATTGGGAGATAGACATGTAGTCGACGTCACTTTGATCAATGTTTCACATACCGTTGACCAATTTCTCACACAACGTTGACAGATGTCTCATATAACGTTGACAATGTCTGACACAATCTTGACGAATGTCTCACATAACGTTGACTAATTGATCACATAACATATTGACCGATGTCTCAAATAACGTTGACCAATTTATCACATAACATTGACCGATGTCTCGATGTCTCACATAACGTTGACCGATGTCTCACATACCCTTAACCGAGATATCACAAGGCGTTGACCAATGTCTCACATAACGTTGACCATTGTCTCACATAACGTTGACCAATGTCTCACATAACGTTGACCAATGTCTCACATAACGTTGACCAATGTCCCCCCTCCCACAGTGAGCGCACGTTCAAGAACAACACGTCGTTCGTGAGCCGGTTCTCCACCCGACGCCGTGACAGGAGCAGCACCGTCAACAGCAGCTCGAGCCAGATCAACGGTCAGGCCCAGTCCCCGTTGACCACACGTCATCACTCCAGGAGGACCGCAATATCTACCTCAGAGGAGGAGGTGCCCAATGTCCTAGACAGGTACGTACTGGGGGTGTGGGCGCGGGTGGTACAGACAGGTGGTACGGACAGGTGGTACGGACAGGTGGTACGGACAGGTGGTACGGACATGTTGGAATGTTCCAGTGGACAGTGGTCAGTTTTGTCTTCCCATTCCACAATCGGTTAAAATTACAGAAAATGTTTGCACTTCGATAAAGCAAGAGTTAAATAGTGACGGTACCTCTGATCCAAAGTCAGATTTTGGCCACGTGACATCCAGCCTGGGGTGATGATGACAGAGGAGTTGTGGGTCAATCAAATCATCAATGTCGGACTTGAGGAGACACTCGCGGCGACACGTGTACAAAACAGTAAGACGGGTTGAATAAATCCTTGGACCTGGAGCTCCCAGTGGCCACACCTGTGTTACAGTAGCACTTCATCTAGGTCATCCATTGAGCAAAAAACAAAAGACTTCGGGCAGGCGGGTGGACAGAGAGAGACAGATGTAGAGATGTAGGGATGTAGAGATGTAGATGTAGATATAGATATAGATATAGAGAGACACAGAGAGAGAGACAGATTTAGAGATGTAAGGATGTAGGGATGTAGATATAGATATAGATATAGAGAGACACAGAGAGAGAGACAGATGTAGAGATGTAGGGATGTAGGGATGTAGATGTAGATATAGAGAGATACAGAGAGAGAGACTGATGTAGAGATGTAGAGATGTAGAGATGTAGATGTAGATGTAGATATAGATATAGAGAGACACAGAGAGAGATGTAGAGATGTAGGGATGTAGATGAAGATGTAGATATAGATATAGAGAGACACAGAGAGAGAGACAGATGTAGAGATGTAGGGATGTAGATGTAGATGTAGATATAGATATAGAGAGACACAGAGAGAGAGACAGATGTAGAGATGTAGAGATGTAGAGATGTAGAGATGTAGATGTAGATGTAGATATAGATATAGAGAGGCACAGAGAGAGAGAGAGGCAGATGTAGGGATGTAGAGATGTAGGGATGTAGATGTAGATATAGATATAGAGAGAAACAGAGAGATAGAGACAGATGTAGAGATGTAAGGATGTAGATGTAGATATAGATATAGAGAGACACAGAGAGAGAGACAGATGTAGAGATGTAGAGATGTAGGGATGTAGATGTAGATGTAGATATAGATTTAGAGAGACACAGAGAGAGAGACAGATGTGGAGATGTAGAGATGTAGGGATGTAGATGTAGATATAGATATAAAGAGACACAGAGAGAGAGACAGATGTAGAGATGTAGAGATGTAGAGATGTAAGGATGTAGATGTAGATATAGATATAAAGTGACACAGAGAGAGAGACAGATGTAGAGATGTAGAGATGTAGGGATGTAGATGTAGATGTAGATATAGATGTAGAGAGACACAGAGAGAGAGAGAGACAGATGTAGAGATGTAGAGATGTAGGGATGTAGATGTAGATATAGATATAGAGAGACACAGAGAGAGAGACAGATGTAGAGATGTAGAGATGTAGGGATGTATATCTAGATATAGATATAGAGAGACACAGAGAGACAGATGTAGAGATGTAGGGATGTAGGGATGTAGATGTAGATATAGATATAGAGAGACACAGAGAGAGACAGATGTAGAGATGTAGAGATGTAGATGTAAATATAGATATAGATATAGAGAGACACAGAGAGAGAGACAGATGTAGAGATGTAGAGATGTAGTTATAGATGTATTTATAGATATAGAGAGACACAGAGAGAGAGACAGATGTAGAGATGTAGGGATGTAGGGATGTAGATGTAGATGTAGATGTAGATATAGATATAGAGAGATACAAAGAGAGAGACAGATGTAGAGATGTAGGGATGTAGATGTAGATATAGATATAGAGAGACACAGAGAGAGAGAGAGACAGATGTAGAGATGTAGAGATGTAGGGATGTAGATGTAGATATAGATATAGATATAGAGAGACACAGAGAGAGAGACAGATGTAGAGATGTAGAGATGTAGGGATGTAGATGTAGATAGATGTAGGGATGTAGGGATGTAGGGATGTAGGGATGTAGGGATGTAGATGTAGATGTAGATATAGATATAGAGAGACACAGAGAGAGACAGATGTAGAGATGTAGAGATGTAGGGATGTAGATATAGATATAGATATAGAGAGACACAGAGAGAGACAGATGTAGAGATGTAGAGATGTAGGGATGTAGGGATGTAGGGATGTAGATGTAGATATAGATATAAATATAGAGAGACATAGAGAGAGACAGATGTAGAGATGTAGAGATATAGGGATGTAGGGATGTAGATGTAGATATAGATATAGATATAGAGAGACACAGAGAGAGACAGATGTAGAGATGTAGGGATGTAGATGTAGATATAGATATAGATATAGAGAGACAGAGAGAGAGACAGATGTAGAGATGTAGAGATGTAGGGATGTAGATGTAGATATAGATATAGAGAGACACAGAGAGAGACAGATGTAGAGATGTAGGGATGTAGGTATGTAGATGTAGATATAGATATAGAGAGACACAGAGAGAGAGAGACAGATGTAGAGATGTAGGGATTTAGGGATGTAGATGTAGATATAGATATAGAGAGACACAGAGAGAGAGACAGATGTAGAGATGTAGAGATGTAGGGATGTAGATGTAGATGTAGATATAGATATAGAGAGACACAGAGAGAGAGACAGATGTAGAGATGGAGAGATGTAGGGATGTAGATGTAGATATAGATATAGAGAGACACAGAGAGAGAGAGACAGATGTAGAGATGTAGAGATGTAGGGGTGTAGATGTAGATGTAGATATAGATATAGAGAGACACAGAGAGAGAGACAGATGTAGCGATGTAGAGATGTAGGGATGTAGATATAGATATAGAGAGACACAGAGAGAGAGACAGATGTAGAGATGTAGAGATGTAGGGATGTAGATGTAGATATAGATATAGAGAGACACAGAGAGAGAGACAGATGTAGAGATGTAGGGATGTAGATGTAGATATAGATATAGAGAGACACAGAGAGAGAGACAGATGTAGAGATGTAGAGATGTAGATGTAGATATAGATATAGAGAGACACAGAGAGAGAGACAGATGTAGAGATGTAGAGATGTAGATGTAGATATAGATATAGAGAGACACAGAGAGAGAGACAGATGTAGAGATGTAGGGATGTAGATGTAGATATAGAGAGACACAGTGAGAGACAGATTTAGAGATGTGGAGTTATAGAGATGTAGAGGTGTAGAGACGTAGATGTAGACATATATATATATATATATATATTTATATATATATATATATATATATAAATAGAGAGAGAGAGAGAGAGAGAGAGAGAGAGCATGGGTTCTTAACCTGTGGGTCACGACCGCTTTTGGGGCTCAAACGGCACTTACACTAGGGTCTTCTAAGACCATGTAAAAAACACATAGTTATGCAGTAGCAACGAACAATTTTTTTATAGTTAGCGGTCACCACAACATGGGGAACTGTATTAAAGGATCGCGGCATTAGGAAGGTTGAGAACCACTGATATAGAGGGTCACCATCTTCAGACTCCGGGCGCCGTTTTTTCCTCGACATGGTCCTGGGTATTGCATTTATCGCCTTCCTGGACAACCGAAATAGACCAAAATAAGACTGTTTAGCAAGTTGATAAAGGCCAGCCTTACCTGATAATATCCCAAGCATGGTTCTCTATATAATATGTACTGTTTGAGGTCCGATAATTTTAATTTATTTATTTTTTTTGTGCTCAGCGCATTCGTTGTTTTTGTTTTGTTTTTATTGCAAAACCCGCTGTCTGCACGCCAAAGTGTGACCACACCCTCCCTTGAGCACACGTGACCTTGCGTGCACCAGCGAGCACCAGCGCGCACCCTTTTCGTAATCATGTGTCAGTGTGTCACGGCTACGCCCTATGTGTGAGTGTCTTTGAGAGAACATTTGAACTGGGCATTCAGTAATCATGTAACGTGTTTACTACTCAACCCTCACCCAAACAGATAATAAAACACATATGTTC